CCCTACAGGGCTGTGGCACGACCCAGGTTTCTTACAGAAATGTGCCTAGGTGCTGTGATGTCAGGAGTGGTGGCCCTCAGGACAGCAACTCTGGTCCCTCTCCAAGCTTCATGTAAGAGAATGCCAGTTTTGCTGCGCTGAGCTCGTGGCACAGCCATTTTTACTCTCTCTTCGGAGTGATCCCTTCAAGCTGTTGCCACCCAGGCTCTCTGAGATGTTCCTTGGGCCCCTTGTGCGTTTACTGAGCCCTACTAAAGTGCCTGCAATGCCTTCCTGTGTCTTCTAGAGTGGTTTTTCATTATGATCTGAGCTAGTGGCTTTCTGCTCTACCAACTGCATTTTTTGGACTCAAATGCTTGCTCGGCCCTGGGCTTTTTTTTTTTTTTTTACTTTGCATCCTGGCAAGCATTGTCCTTGGCAGCATCCTGGGTTCAAAGTCAGGATGATACAGATTTATAGTTACAGCCCACAACATGGGCAAGTATTTTCACAACCTGCCCAAGTGACAGCTACAGATTTTCCACAGCGGTTTGCTGCATCAGCCCACACAGAATTAAGCAGAGGGCTTCATGTCAGGTCCAATCTGAAAAGGCTGCTTCCCTGTGTGATTCCTGCTAGCCTATGGACTAGCAACCTTCAAGCAGTGCTGATTCTAAATGCGCCCCAGAGGCCCCTAACCCTTCAGAACCAGGCAAAGGCTCCCACTGACCACACTGAGCCAGCACATTTTACTCTAGGACTCAGTACACAGGTTTTTCTTTATGATCACATGAAGAGGACCAGGCAGGTACCTCAGAGGTTCCAGCTTTCATTCATGCTGACTGTAAGGTTTGGAAATACTGCACAATTGAGATATTAAAACCTTACAGCCCTCTGTATCACATGAGCCATTTTATTTTCATTAAACTGTGTCATTTAACCAGAAGACAACATACATCTGTCTGATGAGATGAACTCGTTCCCTGTCCCCTGTTGGCCATTGTCGACCTACTCTGAGCTCTCCAAATACTGCGACAGGCTCTTCATTTCTTTCTATGAGTGAGACTTCAGACCAGCAGAACCTGAATGCACATTTCATTAGTTCTTGTGGTGAAGGCAGAAGTTTCACCCTCTTTCAGGGCATAGGGTTTTTGTTTGTTCTCTTGTTTTTGTTTTATCCTCTCTGACCCTGATCTCTCCCATTCTCAGTAATTTTGTGAAGTATGTCAGCTAGCCAATCCCCCTTACAGTCTCAGTAGGCCGATTTGAATGTGTTCAAGGTTTTCAAAGTAATCCCTTACCTGCTCTTTAGTAATAGTTATAACAGGGTCTTCCTCACTTCCTAATTGTCCAAACTTCTTTTCTTTATTTTTCATGTTCAAGACAGATTTAAAAAAGGACTTTAGTATCTCAGCCATTGGAGAATCAACAGTATTTACATCCCCCCCTCAATTATTAACAGACTTAATTTTTCAAACCATTATTTCCCTCCCCTTCATCAGGTATCTTTAAAATCTGTTCTTACCCCTTAGCTAAAGTGACACAAGACACACAATAGTAGGTTTGTTTCCAGAACTGTACTTGAGGTGGTGGTGTCTAATCAGGTGAGACAGCGCTAAAGCACACCCCAAGTAGGAGCATTTTTAAAAAGCCAGATCTAACTTCAGCAAGCACCTGGTGATAGACTTGCTCCTGGGCTTAAAAGGGCTGTAAGGAAACACAATGATTCCTTTAAATTTTGCTAATACTCCTACATATGCTTGCCTCATCCTTCTGCCAACACCATCCATGTTTTGCTGAGTTTCAGAAGAGACTTAAAGCCCCTCTTCAGACTGCAGCACTTCTCCTCAGTGGCAGGGAATTATATACTCCATCCTCCTGGCTGCCTTTTCCCATACCTCTAGTGCAGATACCTAAAGAACAGTCTTTCAACCTTCTTACTCGAACAGAAGGATTCCCCCAGGTCCCAAATCATACACTTCCTTCCCCATGCCAGTGCTGAGAAAAAGAAGCTGGGAAGCAGAAGGTAACCATAGAAATGTAATGTCAAAACTGCCTCTCAGTTACTTGGCTTTTACAGGCCTGGGGAGGCTGAGTGAGCTCAGGCTGGCCTTTGTGCTGCTGCTTATACACGGAAACAAGCAACTTCTCGAGGCTCAGCACAGCAAATCAGGGAACCAGTTCCATCTTCTAGACTCTCCTTCTCTTCAAGCTGGGATTTTGCTGTACGGTTACTGCCTGACTTCTCTCACGTGAGGCCATCTATGAATGGCCACTGGGAAATCCTGCTTTGGCTCAGGAGCTGGTGCAGGGCACTACAGCTGCTAACTTGAGAAACCTGTCACACTCCTGCTTGCTCTAAGGGACTGTGGTAGCTCTCTGTGATGCCCTTTTCAGAAGCACTCGAGTGAGGAATACATACTTGTGTTTTGAACTCCTGTCTCTGGACCCCCGTCGGTGACCTCTGCTGTGGCTGCGGGAACGGCTCCGGTGGCGCCTGTGTCGGTCTCGAGACCGGGAACGAGACTTCCGCCGTTCACGGGAAGCCGATCTTGAGCGTCTTCGCCTCCTTTCCCGAGACCGTGATCTGAAGAGGACACAGACTGCCTCAGACTCGGGAGACAGGCCGGTACGTCGGAGCTGAGCACCTGAGCCTGCATCTCAGACATTTCCAAGTAACAAATATCCAGAGCGCTTACCCCCCCAGCCACTTCCCTGCCAACACAGAAGGCAGATCAGCCATGGGGTGGGCATCCTCCCTCCTGGGCCTCATGCTACCAACAAAATGCCAACAGGTAAATTTGATTTGCTGGGAAGCTTATATCAAAAGCTCCCACCATTAATGTAAGCATGTGCCAGTGCCTAGAGCAGAGCTTACCAACCATGCTCACTCCAAGTGAGGCTTGTACAAGTAGAAGAGAAGCCAAAATAAACTATGAAGTTACCATAACCTGTATGGCAGTCTGCCGAGAGAGAGTCTCCCCTGTGAAAGTACTGCACTTCAGAAACAGATTTGTTTCAATCTGCTCTGAAAACAAAAAAGAGTGCAAAGTATGTGGAAAGCAATAGAGGAAGATCTCCAGGTACGTGATCACAGAGAATGCTGTCATACTGCTAAGGCAAGCTCTTCACAGAGATGTGGGAGCTTTAACCTTGAATCTCTGTATTTTTACATCTGAGGTACAATATATGTAGCAGATATATTTCAGACATTAAAATTATGAAAGTATATTAGACATTTATTGAGTAAGGCATCAAGTACATTCTTAGACTCATACTTGGGAGCACACAGCACCTCTGCCCTGACCAAGCCAGCCAGCATCTGCTTTCTAGCTGACAGGTGACATTAAGTTGCACAGCACCGCTCAGGTGCCCAAGCAGTAGCTCTCATTTCTTACAGGGAGCAGAACAAAGAGACTGGGGCATTGAACAAATGCCATTCATGAGACCTAGGCAAAAACTCAGCAGCTAGACAGAAACACAAATTGGCATTTGGGAGAACTGTAGGACTGCGCACTCACCTTCGACGATCTCTGTTTCTCGATCCAGACCTAGAAAGAAGAGGAGAATTAAGCGAGACAAGGTATGATACAGTCAGTGGGCTTTCAATAAATCAACATGTTCACTCTGGCAGCTCTTCACAGGAGCGTAGCAATTCCCGAAGTAATGTCAGTTAAAAAAAAGCTCACCACTAAAATATTTAATTAGCTTCAATGTGAGGGGCAGGGAGAATTTGTGAAAAACTGAAGAACTTCATAGAAACACTAGTTTCTACATGCAGAGCTTCCCGTCAGAACAGAAAAGGTCTACAAACCAACTCAGTCTCTGTTAACAAAGCACTATAACAAACATTTCCAACTTTAAATTTGCAGTGTATATTTGTCATATACTCTTTATCCTCTACAGACTAACACTACCTAGATCAATTCTAACATTTTCAAGGAAAAATGCCACTCTCCTCCAGTCAGAAACACACTTGGCAGTTTTCTGATTTTGGTTCTTTTGACGTAGTTGCACATTAAAAAATCCTAATAACGAGAAAACAGCATTTTCTCACTCATCATATTTATTTAATGAACATTAGAAGGAAATTTGCATCAATATTTTTTTCCTGTTTGGGAAAGATGAGCTAGAAAAAAATAGGAGACAGGGACACAAGGGAAGAACTATTACTGAAAAGTAACTGAACACACACTGAACATCCTTAATCCCAGACCTGAGAACAATCATCCAAGCCTCACTCTTCTTTCTCTCATTTCCATTGCTTCAGAGCTCATGTGTGACACTCTCAGCTTCAAGCTGTCAGCATTAGCTTTTGACAGTCTGTAAGCAACGTCACAATGCTTTCAACGTCTGAAGCACCATTACTCAGCAACCCTTAAAATACCACTCCACAGTGAAGGATACACCCTCCCTCTTTCTCTGTGGCCACATTTCAGAGCCAGCTTATACCAAAACATCTCACACTGTCTGAACAGTCTGGTTTAACTTTAATTGAGAAATGGTCAGTCTCCCTGTTTAGTGACTTAAGAGACTCACTCATAACTGCTCCTGTCTCCCCACTGCATACAGACTCACAGGGGAAGTTCCATTTACACAGCCACAGAGCTGTTCTGGCACTGTAGCACGAGATGCGGCTGAAAGCTACACACAACATGTTAAAAAGCACTAAAGCAGCATCTGTTTTCATAATATCATTTAAAACCATACCTGAATAAGCCAAGATTAAGAGAATCAATGTGCACTGACATTCCTTCACAATGAAATGAGATTGCTCAATCATGGTAGAAATGGAAAAACAAACAAAAAAAGGCCACCAAAATTTAGAAAGGAATTCAGGTAGAAGGACTGTAAACAAGGTGGAGCTGAACATGGAGTCAGGCAAATGAACCATGTGTTGAGGCAACACACAAGACGACCAGACCAAGGAAAAGCTGATAAACCAGGAGAGCAAAGCAATAACTACACATCTCCTTTTTCATGTATCAGAACCTGACAGAGCAGCAGGACCTCCTGGAGATGCCTGGCAGGCAGCTGATTTTTTTTGGTGGTTGTAATTACTCAAAGTTCTTAATGTTCTTTCTCTCCTGCTCACTTTATTCTGAATCACCGGTGCACACAGCCACACAAAGCCATTCCACATCTCCTGTAAAGGCTGGCTGCCCTTCCACGCCTATGATCTGAGCAGGAGCTTGTACAACAAACTCCTGATAATCACTCCCTAGCACTAGACTTCAGAATTCAGGAAGGATTCAACAAAACAGCACTTTCCTTACAAGCCTGAATCAGTATACAGCAGGATACAGTAGAAGACTGCTGTCCAGAGAAGTGAGAGGCTGAGTATACTTGTAATTTTTTTTCCTTCTTTTTTTTTTCCTTCCATAGCATCACAGAGGCTATGTCCCAAGTTTTATAACCTGTGTTTTGTCCAACTTAATACAAAAGAAATCCATTTGGCAACTCCACCTAGACTTGTTTGCTGGTGTACTGTGGAAGCAAATACCAAAGTTTGCACTTCCAAGCATGCCACCTCTCCACAGAATCTTGATTGTCTTAAGAGATTACCAGGTAGCCTGAAGCCACTGGCAACACCAAAGGACTTGTGTTTATTTGCCACTAGGGGTGACAACACAGTTCACTCATTCCTATGAGGAAATCAGTTTAGTTGAGAAATTAATAGTCTGTGACAGCTAAGAGTTTCACAAGGGAATCTACAGGTTTCCATAGTATGTCACAGTGCCTGTAAGTCACCAAAGACTTGTTAAAGTCAAGCAGTACTCTTTCTCTTACAGAGTAACACCGTGCAGATGCTGCATATGAAGATACGACAAGAGTTGTGAAGGAAGCATGTTTTCTGTGGTTCTTCAAAGTATCAAGCTGTGGTTAAGAGAGGCTGTCTGAAAGGCGGTAGAAGTCACCAAATAGTTTTTGATGGAAAAACGCCCCTGGAAGCATGGTGTTGCACAGCTCCCGAAAGAGGTGCTGAGAAATCTGGGCTCCAGTCCCAGTTCTGACACTAGGCATCCACTGAGAAAACTCTTTTCCTTCTTTGGGTCAAGTGCTTATTTTGGAGAGGAAAATAATTTGACCTCCTCTGTATGGCACTCCTGGCTCCTTCACAAGCTTTTCTCTGGTATCTGAACAGAGGAACATACAGATGCCTTCATAGAGAGCGAGAGCAAAAGCTGGCCACAGTCTCTAAGTAGTGCCACAGAGGGAACCAGCAAGAACTCAGACTTTAGGCCAACTCAACGGAGTTCTTAAATGGTTCATATTTAAAGTATTAAATAAACATTCAAAAGTGCTCTTCAAACCATCTCATCAGATGCATCCATATATGGGCTACCTGTGAACAGAAGAGGCTCCTTAACTCTCAAGAACTGAGGTTTTGTTGTGTTGTTTTGTTTTCTAAACCACAAAACTGAAGTTTCAGATATGCTACAGGAGTAAGAAAGCCAGCATTTTGGGGACCAACTGAGAGATTCAGAGGACTCTTCCTGAAGACAACTGTTGAGCAACTATCACATAGAAATGACCTCCAGGAAGAGGAGGCACCACGGGGACAGATGCATTGAGTATGGGTTAGATCGCTCTACTGTGAGTCAGAAAGAGCCTGTCACGAAGCAGCTGCATGGGAAGACAATTCTCATTTCATTTGCATCTTTCTGCCCATATCAACAACACATATCAGTCCCTTTTGATTAACTCCTGCACTCATCAGCCAGTTCCAGATTCCGCAGCCCCCAAATATAACTGCATTCATTACAGTCTTGTGTGGATGCCAGAAAGTTGTGAGGCTCTACATAAAGTGCTGCAGTTCAGGAAAAAGCTGCAGCATGAACTGGTGCTTGATATGACACCAGGCAATCTACAGGGAGAGAGAACCCACATAAAACACCGTAATTGCAGGATGCGTAACAATTTGGGGCTTACATCTTCATAGTACACCAAAATCACCAAGTTGCAGACCACAGAAAACCAAGCTGCTTCAATTCTGGTATTTGTTAGCATTTCCAGCAACGTATACCCAGAAGCCAGCACTATCTTAGAGCATACTCCAGTTACGCACCTCTCATACTTCAGACACAGACGGCTGAAGCACACTGTGCAGTTTATACTGAGGGTCAAAACAAATTTTTCACAGGGAGCATGGTTGGCTTTTTTGATGCAAGAAGTACAAGAAGACAAGCACATGAGTTAACTGGGGAAATGCTGTGACACTGAGAACAGCATTCCTTCTCTGGCACTTCCTCTGCCTGACCACTGGAAATAACCACCCTCTCCACAGCAGGCTGTTTAACTGAGCTGTTCACACACAATGTCTGTTTGGTTCAACTCCAGAAGAAATAGTTTTTCCAGTTCAGCTGGCAACAGGCAGAAGAGCTTACGAATACCAACACTGCAGCCACTCCCTCTGCTCAAGGATTATACACATATGAGCAAAAGGTGACACATACAGCCACAACACCAGAAGTAGCCAACCCGTGGGATCCCCCAGATCCCCTAGGAAGTGTTTTCCAAAGCTGTGCCAAAAGCACTTCACTGTTATTGTAGAAGTTTTGAAGCAAGACAGGCGGTCCACCATCTGGCTGCTGGATACCAGCTCCAGTCTGCTGTTACGTCCTAACCTAAAAGCAAGGAGGGACGTCCAGGGAATTTTTGCATGACTAGCACCATTTGAGCAGACCTAGCACGGACTCATCTTAAACCTTCCCACTCAGATGCATTGGATGAGGGCATTTTATCCAGATTCATATTCTCAGAGACAAGAACTAGACCAATATATGCCTGAAGACTCCAGGGAGCTCACATCTTCCAGATACACAATGAAGGTTAAAACAATACACGTGCAATCACTCTAAGATGGGGAATTTGTGCATTTGTTTATGTCTTTAATTGAATGCCAAGGTGCTCACATAGCATCCAGAGAACGTCCAACAGCTGCTCCCGCAGCAGACGCTGCTTTCCTGCAATGCTCAGATACAAGAAATCATACTATTTCAAAAGCAACTTGACAAACCAGTTAGCAGCTTTCACTTACCGTCTGCCCATTCTCTCCTCTCGTTCCCTCTCCTCTCTCCGTCTCAAACGATCCTGGTTTCTCTTCTCTTGCTTTTCTGCCACTGTTTTCTAGAAAAAAGTTCACACTGCATTTCAGGCATAGAGTAACAGGTTGGAGAGATCTGCAGGGAGACTATTCAGGTACTAAGAAAAAGGCAGTAAGACAAAGAACCATTTCACGGCATTTTATGTGCTAGTCAGGGTCTCTGTCAAGGTTCTCATTCTCCTCACAACTTCTCTAGCTCACATCAGTGCAAGAAATGCCACTCTCCGCTTTGAGCATTTGTGCTCTAAGCCAGTAAGCTTTGAGGCAAGGGACTGTCCCAATACGAGCACACACAGCACAATGAAACATTGGTCTGGCCTCATGCCAATGATCAATAAACTGCCTAGTGAATAAGGCACAGGAACCACAGCTGTTACTCGAGTTGGCTAAAGGTCTCTGCTTGTGAGCAAGGCCAGCACAGCAATGCTATTACAAACCATTCCAGAAATCTTCTAATCATTTCAGCTACTGAAGATCATCTTCACTGACAGCACTACGTGAAGCTTCAGTTCAAGCTTTTCGTTACGAGTGCTCTTCAACAGTCAAAAAACCCACAGTGAGAAATCTCAGCCAATCCAATGAGAAAGAGCAACGGTACAGTCACATATATTTAAGGAAGAAATTACAGCAGTGATCTGGTTTGACTAATTCTGAGGGTACACATTTAGTAACCCAGAAATTACTGAACAGAACCAAGTATGAGGCCATGCCAACTTCCACTTGAAGTTCCACGGAATCAGCAATCAGAAATTTCTGGGCTTTTACAAGCACTATGCAAAGAATTCTGTATGAACATAATAAAAGTGTTGAATGTCTTCAGATTTACAAGGAGAAGGTTTAAAACAGACAAGTTTACCCTCAGCTGATCCAGTTTTTCACGAATCTGAATGAAACCCAAGTGTAATTTGCCTCCAAAGTGGTCAGCAAGACGCCGGTCGTTGTCATGGAGACCCAGATATGCTGAACAGACTTCACACACACGCAGCTTCTGCTGCTGGAAACTGGATGCAGGCATTGAATTTCGGTATTCTTCCTAAAGTGAGACAGAAAAACAAGGCAAATGTCAGGGAAATTTTGCATAGTCACAATCCTCCAGGGAAACCCCTGCAAAGGATTGCACTGCTGCTTTCAATGATCATGAAAGCACCTTCAATATAAAGGAGGTGCCATACAAAACTCTGTGCGAGCACAGCTAACCTGACAGCCTGTCACTGCAAGTGACTAGTGACCAAATATTTCAGAAGATTAATTTCCCCCGCCCCTGTCAGCTCTCTTCACTAGATAAAAGTTTCTAAAAAAGTTTTTTTTCATCTAACACACTATACTGCCAACTGCTTGCTGGCACATGGCTGAAACGGCATTCCCCAGGGTTCTGTTTTGGGGCCAGTCCT